AAGTCCAAGTCCCAGCTTTCCAAGGTAGATGAGCATGTCTATCAGTCTGGTTGTAAGTGCTAGACATTTGCATTTTCCCTTTCTGTTCTGTGAAGGGCACTGTGGCTGCGCAAAGGCAGTGGATAGGACAACTTACCTGGCAGTGGCTAGGATTTAAACATTTTTTATATTCCTTTACGTTCCCAGTGGAACATAGTGTTTCAAGCTAGAGACTTGAAGTTTTAGTAGCAGTGGCTTTCTGTTTTTACGGAATGCGGTTACCGCTAGCCTAATGTCCAACCTTCACTCTTTACCACTCTTAATACTGGCTTAGCGAGGCGAACGAGTGTATCTGTGGCCGCGGATCGAACCCCGACTCACATGAGGCGTGGTCGGCGAGCAATATACCTCTGTGCCATTGATGCACTGTTTCCAGGAAGGCGGAATCAAACTGCTCCGACGCTAGTTGGTTACAGGTTTGATGCCTGCACGCACCCCGGACCACCGAGGGCCATCATGGCACTGACTATGTAATGCATCATAATCGAATGACAGTATATTGAGAGGAAGACGAAAGTAAACACTCCATCAGCTGTATGGCGGACATCCAGCATAAAATGTTTTGTAATTGTTACTAAATTTTTATCCAATTTGGTCAAATCTAAATAGATGTTATCTTTGTGTTGATGTATGTTTGTATTTTATTTCTCTTTTTAGTGTAGTTTAACAGAAGTATTAAACGCTGGTTGGTAAGTTTTTCTCTTTTCTTTGCTTAAATTAATTTGAGTCTTTGTTGTTGTGGTCGTCTTTATCACACTGAAACTAGATTTATTATCATAACATAACTATACATTCCTTTGCGTTCGAAGTGGAACATAGAAAGCGCCTTAACGGCACATCTTCATTGGATTTAATTCTCTCTGTCATTACTTTAAACAGGTTACACTAGTCTGTACACGTACACAACTTTTCATGTCCTATTGACCTGATTCTTCTACCCACGGCACTTATGGATATCTAACTCGTTGGTTTCTATTTGGGTTTCACTTGGAGGCCTTCTTGGCATGTGGTGTCACTCAACAGCTTCTTCAGCATTCTGTCTCCATTTCTTTTGTCATACTTTTTGAACAATAGCTTCTTGGTTGGTTAGGAGTCGAGTGCTAGGTATAGAGGGAAGGTCAATAGACGAGGCTGTGAAGCTACATCGACTGAGATGGTTAGGATATGTGTTACGTATGCCTGCCTAGCCATCACCTTCATCGACAACAGGCAATGTTAGCTGACATAGGGTCAGGTTGGAAAAGAGCTAGCGGCGGTCAAATCAAAACATGGCTTCACCAGTCAATGAAATCCGCAACAGTTAGTTTTAATCAGCCAGCCACGTAGGGAGATATAGACTTCCTGGTTGACTTCCTCGGAAGGTAAAAACCAATGTCTGGAGACAATTTGGTGATATGGCTCAAAATCGTTCTCAGTGTCTGGCGCAGATGCATTCACTCATTGTGACTTGTAATTTCCAATGAAAGTGTGTTGTTCTTCGTTATTACTATTCCTTTTGTCTCATATCCCTGTCTGCTGTTTCTGTTTTGCATTTCTTCTACTTTCCTCTCGCTTTGTGTGCTACAAAGAGTGGAGTGTGGCTACTTGAACTGCTGCACATCGGTGCAAAGTTCTATTCTGAAACCAGTCATTCGGTCAGGTTGGTTTTCTACACTCTCTGGACTCTTTTGGCTTATATTTTCTGGCCTGAAGTATGGTCTTTAGTGTCGAGCAAAGAGCGGCGAGGTGGGTAATGTGTGGAACTGTTGAGGAAAGTTCACAGCTGCCTGTTAGAAATGCTTTTCCTGACGCTCTTGTCAATTCCCTGAAGTATTTAAAAGTACTGACTTGACATTAGTATTGATGGGTGATCTAGGAAAGTAATCCGTTAAGCCAATTATTTGCTTCGGCTTGGATATCTGAGCAACCATCCCACCCATCAAATGAATGTAGCTTATTTCTTGATGAAAATAAGATCCGTATTTTCAACTCCAATGTGAAATCAGTGCTACTATAGAGGGATCAGAGACTTGGAGCGTCATTTTGAGGTTTGTTTAAAGGGGGCAGTATTCCATAATGCAATCTCTTTCAGCTAACTGAGAAGCATCGTTTCAACTACGGGCGGAACTGACGAGGATATCAATGCAAGGATCGGGAAAGCAAGATAAGCTTTCATTACTCTCAAGTCTGTGTGGTGGTCAACAACACATCCAGATTTTGAACTTCAATGTGAAGTCAGTGCTACTAATAGTACAGATCATAGACTTGGCGCGTCATGAAGAGCACTTCGATCAAACTACAGACCTCCATCAACAGCTGTCTTCGCTCAATACTACTCAAGGTAAGATGGCCGGCCAGAAAAGATCAGCAATAGTAAGGGATCTCTGGGAGCGAACCAACCAGGATCCGATTGTGCAACAAATATGCAGGAAGAATTGGAGATGGATTGGAGGCCATAATCTGAGGAAGCCATCAAGTGACATCACTAGACAGGCCCTCGGGTGGAATCCGAAAGGGGAGCGGCGAGTTGGTCGTCCAAAGGTGACTTGGAAGAGGTCATGTGAAGAGGAGATGAAAGCATGTGGGCAGACTTGGAGTCAGGTGAAAACTTTAGCAGAGAACCGAACGCACTGGAGACGTGCAGCTGAAGCCATATGTCCCTCTAGGAATTAAAGGAAACAATAATAATAATTAGTATTTCTTGATGTATACGCTTAAATGTGGTTAGATATGTCACTATATTACAGTGTGTTTCAAAGGCTTAATAGAGGATTAGTTATTGATTCCTGTTCTTATGCATAGCTGAATTCGCTTACTGTCAGTGACTTCTTGATTTGCCGTGTTAATCACTTTCATCAGATAATTTATTTGTCATTCAATCAGAGACTCAGTCAGTCAGCAAACGTTGAGCAGATAAGACTAGTTGTTCATACTGTGGTGAGAGCTGTCCACTAGCCAAAATTGGGCAGATAGCAATTTACGTCAATGTTTATAACCCATATCTTAGTGATGAGAAAAAAAAACAAGAACAAGGACTAACTTAATAACCAATCACAGCAGACTTTGCGTGGGCGGATACGATTCGCAGATATATATGGTCTGACCTTCAAGGAAACAGCCACAAAGAGATGACAGAATAACCTTCAGCGAGAAAACAACCAATCAGAAGACGTTGCAACTTCTCTGCTAACAATAACGCTAATAATAATGTACATAAAAATCTATAAATATCTGTTGATTTTCTCAATAAACGATCTGTTTGGCTGGCCGTTGTCTTCTGTCTTTACAATACAACCATTTTTAATCAGCTAAGATGTCTCAGACTGTCATCAGTGCTCATGCATCGTTTATATTTTTCAATTCAGTCTTGAAAAAATGGCTCTAATGATAACACTTTCTCCTCTTATTTGTTTTTTCTTTTTTTACCAACAAAGGAATTTATCTCAAAAAAGTTTTACAGAATGTTTAAAGAAGACGGAACATGAAAGTTTTAAAGAATTAATAGATGTATTATTGAATGTAAGTTGAATGCCTGGTTTTATCAACTCTACTGTATCTATCTCTGTGTAACGGAAGCAGATAAGAGACTTGGTCATGGAATTTTTTTTTCATTAAGGAAAACACACCATATTTATACATTTTTGAGGCACATTTATGGTCAGCTGTTAATAAACTGTTCTGATTGGTAGTTCGGTTGAAACTCTCCTGATTGGTTGAAAGTAAAAAGTCTTCTGATTGGTTGCTGATTTTCTGAAGGTTAGATCTTAAGATTATATTTTGACCACAGTGTAGGCTAGATCCAGATATACACTTGTACAGTCTGTTGGCGCTGACGTAAAATGCTGTTTTCAATTTCGACTAATTCACATCAATCTACGTCTATTATACTGTGTGATAAGTCTGGTCAGTAGCACACCATATAAATATATATATATATATGGCTTAATTTCTCAGCTGTACATTCATTGCTTTGTGTGTCTTCACATTCATATCTAGGAGCATAAACCAAACTGTCAACGTTGATCAAATCAGCACCAGACTAATGTTTTTGGTATACTGTTACATTATTTCAGGCACTTCTTGCATTTACCGTAGAACGGTGCGCCTCAGCGACACATTTTCCCTGCACTCTGGTGTTTGTGTCCAACGAACAGGCAATAGCATTAATTAGTAAATAAAAAGACCAAAATAATGAAATGAGACACATTTGGATTCCACTCGAGCTTTGGCCTGGCGTGTGATGTCATTCGGCGGCCTCCTCAATATGTGCCTGATCCGTTTCCATTTTCTCCTACAAATTTGTTGAGCGATCAGCTCTTGGTTGGTTTTTTCCCACAGTTTCTTGTTACTTATTCTTTCTGGCTGTTTGATCTTCAGTATGGAGCCAGCGTAGGTGGCAGCTTTTGATAAAAGTCTGCAACCTGTTGGAAATCTTTTTCAATCCTTTTGAGACGACGGACCGATACTTATCTTTGCTGAACACCTTATTCTTTTCTCCTTTCTAAAGTGCTGATGGATATTTTCCACGATTTGAAAAAAAAATACACTCAGAAAGAATAAATACTAAGGAATGCATGGATAGTGCAGCAATTCAGTCATTTAAGAACCCTATTTTCTAACAAGTAGGTAAAACGAAGTGCAGATAGATTAGACTTAGCCATAAGCTAAGAAGGTTTTCAAAATAACATCACATTCAAGATCCTCATGTAGAACTCAAATATACCTCCATATTGAAATTATTCGCACGCAGATAAAATGTAGTCTTTGTGAACAGTCGGGAAGCCTTTAGACATAGAGAGAGAGCTTTGTTTCTCATCCAATATAAAAAGAAGGCAGTGAGAACACTACTGTTCACAATAAAGCACGCCAAAATTTTTTCAGACAGTACAAATGAATATGAAATAAAGACACTGAAAGGAGATTTTAACTTAGAAGGGATATCCTGAAGGGATTCATCAATAAACACTAAAGAAACTATCGAAACAGTTTCAATGAAAGATGTTTATATCAATTCGCCATTTGAAGGTGATGATGTACAGGAAGCAGGCGAACAGAAGACTTGATAAAGGCATTAGAAGAACTTAATATTCTGCAAAGCTTGTATACCTTAAAACCACAACAAAGTGAGTGGTGCTCCAACCACCAGTCACCAATGCTCGACACTTCAAACAGCGTATATCAATTTGAGTGTGTTTTTGTGGGGAGTAAATACATCGATTGTACAAGAAGTTCTATGTAGTTCAGTCACTGTCTAACTGCCTTCATGTCTGAACTTGTCATAATTATTTGCTGCTCAATATGAGTTTATGCTCTAGTGAAGTTTTCTCATTGATCAAATAACGTTATTAAAACAAAAAAAAATTATTTGCTTATTTAATTTTAATGTTTAATCTCTTTTTGTGTTTGTGTGTGTGCTTCGTTTCATCTCACATTATTGATTTTACAGTCAGATATTCGAGAATATGGAGTACCATGGTTAGGAGATTATAAAAAATCTACTCAAGTGAGTAAAATATATTGTTTTTGGTGATTAGTGATTTCCTCTTCTTAAAGAACTGATTGTACTATATAATGTTGTATTCTAATTGTGAAAGACGGAGGTTATGAAAATAACAAACCAACAACAACAACAACAGCAGCAACATCAGTGCCAATCACCATCAACGGAAGGAATATGAAAGAGGTTACTTCATTCACTTATCTAGGGAGCATTGTCTCAACTACAGGCAGGTGGAACGGACGAGGATGTCAAATCGAGAATCGGGAAGGCGAGGAACACATTCATCAACCTGAAACCAATCTGGAAATCTTCGTCACTCAACTCAGCATCAACAACAAAATTCGGATTTTCAATACAAACGTCAAGTCAGTCAGTTCTTCTATACGGATCAGAAACTTGGTCAGTGTGTCACAAAGAATATTTCCAACAGCCTGTTACAGACCTTTATCAACAACTTACTGTCTTCGCTCTATACTGAAGATCAGATGGCCGGAAAGAACAATAACCAACAAGAAACTATGGGAGCAAACAAAGCAAGAACCAATCGCTCAACAAATATGCAGGAGAAATTAGTGATGGATTGGACACTCGCTGAGGAGGCCACTGGGTGACATCGCGCGTCAGGCCATAGCTCGAATGGAAGCCGAAGGGAAGCGACGAGTAGTGGGACGTCGAAGGGTGACATGGAGATCGTGTGAAGAGGAGTTGAAACAGTATGGATTAACATGGACGCAGGTGAAAAGTACAGTAGAAGACAGAAGCAGCAAGTGGAGACGTGCAGTTGAAGCCCTATGTTCCACTAGGAACCCAAGGGAACAAAAATAAAAAAATAATAATGATTGTGAAAGCAAAAATTCTTACGTCACCTACTGTTGCATAACATGTAATTCTCTGAACCTTTACTATCTGTTGAAAATTCACTGGAGACGTGGTTAGTTCAGTATCCTTAACCAGATACCTTTTGTTAAATGAGGTTTCCCTGACACAACTGAGTGCAGTATACTGTATATAAATGACAAATCTTTCTCTGTCTTGCTTACTGAAGGTGGAATCCCTCAAGGTGCTGTTCTCTCTGTCCTTTCCTTTTATTTCTTTCTTCTTACATGACTTTTCTTGCTCGAATGATAGGAACTTGGTGATGGAGGGAAGTTTGATTATAAGGCTAGCAACCCTAATAATGTAAAAAAGAGCATCAACACTACTGGAATAGGATGGAGAAGATTTGTAGCTCAGGTAGATGATTTCGATGTAGTTGTCTTCTCTGAGCTTGATGTCGCATACTTCACTCAACTCTGTGTCAACCAAAAGACTGAACAGTGAAAGATTACACCAACATCATCTACAAAGTAAGTTGCAATAACTACAAAAAACACTACATTGGTCAAAGTGGACGTCCTCTTCGTCTTCGTATCCATGAACATAAACTAGCTGTCAAAAGACATGACATCCACTCCCTCATATCGCTGCATACAGAGAAGTTTTAGAAGCCCGCCTGGTACTCTAGTGAATCGTCAAGCAATAGACACATCGAGATAGACAAAATCTACCAACCGATAAAAAGGAGATCTCACACCTAAAGGGTCAAAGTTCAGTTCAAGGAAAAAATTAGTACCAATACAAGTAGCCTAGAGGGTGTGAAAACACACGAAAACCACCCATCACGCTCAAGGTCACCGGGAGAGATGACTAATAAACTCGTGAAGAAATGTAAAAGCTCACTTCAATTCAATTTAAAGTATGCGCTGAAGATGTTGCCTAGTAAGGCAGTGATGAAAGCTTCGCAAATAAACGATCTAGCTCAATGCACACAACTACATCAAAAAAATACTACTAGAACTTCAAAACTTGTAGTTCTATGTTTCACCCGAGAGGCAGCGGCAATCAACGGAAAATGGGAGAAAGAAAACGTCATTTTGGTGTTTTGTTCGTTGTAAGTGATACACCATCTTGTAACATATCTTTTTAAAACCCTATCAATATCAATATCTATTTATAATATTTATATTTCTATTCATACAGCTTGAAGCAAATGGTAGAATTGTTCAACTGACTCGATTACGTAATATCAGTATACCACAAGCTGTTGAAGATATGATGATGACCACTTCTGCAGATAATCGTGGACCTTGTCTACTTCGATTAACATTTACTGATGGTCGTAATACAATAACCGGCTTAGATATGCAGGATAAAACAGATTTGAGGTAAGCATCTCCTTGTACAAACACTTCTCTTCCTTCCTTTCTTTCTTTTTATTCCTTCACGTTCCCAGTGCTGGAACATAGGGCTGCTTCAAGCTAGAGGCTTGAAGTTTCAGTTATAGTGGTGTTTATTTTTACGGGATTGGGTTGCTAGCCTCATGCCCAACCTTCCCTCTTTACCAGTCTTATTACTGGCTTGGTGAGATAAGGGAATGCGTCTGTGGCCGACGATCGAACTCCGGATCACATGCGTTGTCAATGAGCATTGTACTGCTTCGCCACTGACGCTCAAGGCCTGGGAGTACTGGACAGTTGTTTTGTCCTAGTTTGGGACTCTACAGCAGCACGCACCCAACTGGATTCGAACTTATTCGACTTTAGCAACTTATAATTATCTCGTATATAATATGCGTGTGCGTATCAATTAAAAAACAGTATTGAGAGACAATAATTAAATCGGTTATTTCACTTGAACACATTCGCTTCCAACTGAACCACACAATTTCGTCATCTCAATGAGTTGTTTTATTTCATGTATTGTTAATATCATTTCGTAATAATTACTAATTTAATGAAATGTAATTAAATGTGGGTCAGCGGAAACCTCCATCGATAGTTTGTCTTTAATTTCTTTGATTATTCAATTTGTTTAACTCTAGTGAAGTATGACCTCTAATAGTAATTGGGGGATAGTGACTAACAGTGGAATCCAAGATGCGCATTTCGTCCTTTTTAGCACTTGTCATCTGGATGTACCCGCATTCCCCATTGAGTGAGTGAGTTATGGTGTTCTCACCGAAGCTCGAATCCAATGCCCCTAGTTTCAAACATCAAGGCGTTATCCACTAGATCACTTGGGCCACGATAGCCACCTCAACCTGCGACTGAGCACTTTGGTCCAATCAATCGACCGGAAAATCTAAGATTGAATTCGGTACTCTAATATTATTGTTCACTCTGGTGAGTGTTTAAAACATTCACAACCTACGCATTTGCAAGTTTTTACTAAAAGTGAGGAGACGTATTATCCCAATACATAAAGTAAATGTTCCTCAGTTGTGTCCTTGTTTCACAAAATGCACTCCTGAAATTTTTCTAATCGGAATTCAGCAAAAATATCATCGTGTGTTTCTCGAAAGAGACAAAGAAGAGGTGTCATCATAATGATGGATTGGTTCGCACTTCAGGTCAGAGACAGCTGTGTTACACGATCTACTATCAGTCAATCAATTCTTTCATTTGAAGTGTTATGACCAGAATTACGGCCTAGTAGACTAACTCCAAGACAAAAGAAAGGGCTGGACGTCAACAAGAGAGCTTCTACTGCCTCTAACAGCAGTTAAAATGCTGGACAGAAACTCTGTGTATAATACAGTTGAAGTGACCTTGAAAATGTAGTATTTCATTGATCCATTAAAAGTATTAACAGCCAATAGCAATCCAGCAGTCGAAACAGAGGAAAAGAGGAAACGCTCACGCCAGTGCGCGATAACTCCTTAAAATAATAATTTTTTTAAGTTTTAGATAAAATTGAGCAAAACTAGGTGTATAGGACATGAAGATCCTGTACGAAGAGAAAATATCACGCTATAAATTCCGCTGAAAATTCTGTACATTCTATAAACACTATTCAGAATAAAGCTATTATTAGTAGTATTATTAGTTAAGATTGTGGGTCTCACTTCCGTCGGCCAAAATAGGTGAAATAACTGATTGTGATTGAAAAGTCAATGTAGAAAATAGCTGGAGATGGAGTTGAGGTTCAGCTGTGAAAGCCAGTGTACTTCATCTTCATGAATGAAATGTCATTTCTGTTCTGACTGACTGAGGGAGTATGTGGAGCAGATGTTCATATAACTGGAATCTCAAAGTAAATTGGTTTGATGCGGCATCTGCTAAAGCGAGGAGAGACATATCTTCAGCAGGCTTCCAGCGTCTGCAGTGGTCACCAGAGTTCGATGTTAGTAGGCCCATTAATAAAGTTTTGTATTCTATGGGGTGAACCTGGCGAAGGCGCTGGGTTTTTAAAACATTCTGGCGCATAGGATGCATGCATACAACAGTATGAGGACTGATCCCGATGACTGCGACGATGTTGTGCTGTTTGATCTAGAAGAGGTGTGCGCCGTTGTGCCCGAAGGAGACGTTACAGATGACGGAGAAGGGGAAGAGGCTGGTGAGGACGATGAAGAGGAAGATTGGGAAGAAGAACCAGGGAAGCGGGGAAGGATATCGGACGTTGGGAGTCAACTTGTTCCACAGAAGAGGCCTTGGATTTTGAGTGACTTTAGGTTGACAAAGCTGATGGTGCTGGAGAATGCTAGATTGTAGACTCGAGTTATGAGGACAGCCAGCAATGATCTGCTGACTAGGAAACATAGGAATGTCGACTTTTGTACCGCGTCTAGGAGAAAAAGTAATTTAACACAAATACAAGGGTTAAAAGTGTACGAGATTGGAAGAATAATTAGATAAAGCTTAGCGGAAGGATCTTCACAATCTACCTGATAACAGGGTGTGAAGAAACATCTTCACCAATGGAAACAATTTCAAATCATGCTACTAAGTTTCCAATCTTTGGTTTTCAACACTGAGGAAATTTTCAAAGACTTAATGGTGGTGCTTGGTGCTGAAGAGTCCTAAACTAGGACGAAACAGGTGTCCAATACTTCCTGATGGTTTCCAGTCGTTCTCTAACTGATGTCAGCTCGCGATGAAACCTGTAACTTGATGAACTGATTGTAACGACAGAAGACAAGGGCCAGCCAAACAGATCGTTTATTGAGAAAATCAACAGATATTTGTAGATTGTTATGTACATTATTATTCGTTATTTCTAGGAGAGAAACAGCGTCTTCTGATTGGTTGTTTTCCTTCTGAAGGTTATTTTGTCATCTCTTTGTGGCCGTTTCTTAGACATATATATCTGCAAATTGTATCTGCCCACGCAAAGTCTGCTGTGATTGGTTTTTGAGTTCCTGAAGGTTAGGCTTTGTCCTTGTTTTTTCTCATGACCAAGATATGTGACGTAAACATTGGCGTAAATTGCTGTCTACCGATTTCGTCTGGCAGACAGCTCTCACCACATGATGACATGTTTCACTCTGACCAAGCCTAAACACTTCTTCAAATTACTTCTATGTTGGTTAATATTGATCTTTGCGGAATTCTGTGGCTGGGTATGCATATCACTTCTCGATGGAGATTGGAAGCCTTATTGATTATCTTTTTCTTGTTGCCTAACCCTCTCCTCCTAACCTCATTATGATTGGCTAGATTATGTGGCTTAAGAAAAGGCATTAGACTGAGTTATATACAGTCAAACACTGCTGATCTGTTCACTAACGATCATGCTTCACCGCCATAAAATACGATATATCGATCTATATTAGATAGTTGGAGGCAATCGGCCACAGGAAGCCTTGGACCTAGGTTTCGTGCTAGTTGGCACTCGTCAGCACGGTGTATCTGCAACCCCATTGAAGGAACTCATGTACCTTCTGACAATCGAACCCGCGTCACCCAGTGCCGCAGCCGGAGACGTTACCACTGAGCTATTCAGGCTCGCATATAACCTCTTGTAGGACTGCCTCCAACCATCTAATATCATCAAAAACAATGTACACTGTGATGGCGAGCTACCTAGAATGGTGGCCACATTACAACCTGACTGATAGAATTCAGTCTGCACCAAAAGAAAGGACTAGCGACACACGTCACACTAGTTACTAGTGTCCAATCAAAATATATCCACCTTCTACACATTTCAATATATTATGTGTGAATAGATTACTTATTATCACTGTTATCATTATTATTTGTCTTTTCTGTGGTTTTACTTACGAGGGAATATTTCTGAAAAAATAAACATTTCTCTTTCAGTATGGATATTCCACCTGGAACAAAATTTCGTCTAATGGGTTCAATTCCTATATCTATGGGATTTTTGCTGTTGTCAAAAAATCATCTCAAAGTACTCGGTGGTACAGTGACTAATTTAATCCGTGAATGGAATATGACCAAGGTAATTAATTTGTTCCTTCCAGGCTGGTTGTTTTTTATTGTTTTTGTTAAAAAATTTTCTCAGTCGATATATTCATTAGGTGATGATGAGTATGCATTATATTTTTATTATTATTGTTTCCTTTAATTCCTAGAAGAACATAGGGCTTCAGCCACAAGTCTCCATTGCGTTTGGTTCTCTCCTAAAGTCTTTACCTAACTCCAAGTCTTCCCACACGTTTTCATCACCTCTTCACATGACCTCCTCCAAGTCACCCTCACACTGACAACCAACTCACCGCTTCCCTTTCGGGTTCCACTCGAGCATTGGCTTTTATAGTGATGTCACTTGATGGTTTCCTCAGAGTATGGCCAATCCATCTCCATTTCTTCCTGCCTATTTGTTTCACAATCGGTTCCTGGTTGGTTCGCTCCCAGAGATCTCTGTTGCTGATCTTTTCTGGCCATCTGATCTTGAGTGGTATTGAGCGAAGACAACTATTAATGAAGGTCTGTAGTTTGTTTGAGATGCTCTTTATGACGCGCAGTGCAAGTCTCTGGTCCGTATAATACGTAGCACTGACTTCACATTGGAGTTGAAAATCCGGATCTTATTTTCATTTTCATGCTGAGTGCTGTTGACCTCCACACTGACTTGAGAGTAATGAAAGCTTGTCTTGCTTTTTCGATTCTTGCTTTGATATCATCATCAGTTCCACCTGTAGTTGAAACGATGCTTCCCAATTAGGTAGTTAAAGGAGGTTGCTTCTTTCAGATTTCTCCCATTTATGCTGATTGTTGTCTGTTGTGGTTTTTGCTGTTGGTGGTGTTGCCCAGGAGTCTTGATCACCTTTGTTTTCTCTATGTTCACCTGAAGTCCTATCTTCTCTGGATGCTTCTTCTGCCAACTTGTTGCTTTTCGCTTGTACATCTTTCGGTTTGTGGGAAATCAGGCATATATCGTCGGCGAAGTCTAGATCCTCCAAGTTTTTTGTGTGAGTCCATTTTATACCTGTTTCCTCATTGCCCGCTGTCTGTCGCATTATCCAATTTACTGCAATCAGGAAAATCATTGGTGATAGTAGGCAGCCAGCTTGTATTACTCCTGTCCTCACTTCGAAGGATTCTGTAAGTTTCCCGTTATGGATTACTTGGCATGCAGAATTGTCACACAACTGTTGGAGGAGATATATAATTGTTGGCGACACCCCTTGGTAGTAGTGAAGTAGTTGCAAAATCACCTCTCGACCGACGCTGCTTTATCAGAGGCCTTTTCAAAGTCGATGATGTTGAGATAGAGAGGTGACTGCCATTCCAAGCTTTCTTCAATGATGATCCGTAATGTGGCGATCTGATCAATGCATGACTTGTTTCTCTTGAATCCAGCCTGTTCCGGTCGGTAATGATTCAATTGTGATAAGAATAAATCTAGTAGTTTCTCTGTTCGAAATTTTAGCAGGGTCACATTAACTTGTAACATGTGAATTGATTTTCAATAGGTCAAGCGGGCGAAAATAACGATTTAAATATTAATTTCGTCGAACAGGAAATTTCATTGATTTCAAAATTAGAACTCATTACTGGTCAAGTGGTTCAATCCCCATTATAGATAAAATTTTATTTCGATTAATCACACAGTGTTATACAGTAATATTAACCACACAATAGGTTGGCTGGGATCTTGCAATGATTGTGAGGCCAACTGAATAGACCACATCAGTAGATCAAGGGTAGTCAGATTATACGAACATAAGAATTTTGCTAAGTGTGAAATGACTGACTCCGCGAAGATAAGTAATTTAGAGACAAACTCAGCGATTGTACTGCATATATTGACACACAATAGTGTGGGGATAGAGTTACACCTTTAAAAGTAATATAGAGAGAGGTTGATTGTTGAATCTTTGTTCATCGACTGACTGACTGACTGGTTTCAGTGTAGAACTTTGTACGCATCTGCAGCAGTTCGAGTTGCCAATCTCCATATGGCATAAAAAGCAAGAGAAGAGAGCGAAGAAACAATTCTAAACAGAGATAATAAACAGAAATATGGGACAAAAAGAGTAGTAATATGGTAGAACAACAGAATTTTATTGGATATTATAAATCACAAGAAGTGGATGCATTCGCGCCATTGAGAACAATTTTGAGTTATATCACCAATTGTCTCCAGCCTTCATTGGTTTTTACCGTCCCGAGGACCCCAACCTTCCTACGTGGCTGGCTGGCTTAAACTAACTGTTGTGGATTTCATTGACTGATGCCATATTTTGGCTTGACTAACATGTGGTAGCTCTTCTCCAACCTGATCCATCCTATATCAGCGGCTAACATTGCACGCTGTCGCGGAAGGCAGGCAATGCCTAGGCATACACACATATCCTTTGTTCATCGAATCTGCATCTAACATGTGCAATACCAGAGATATAGAAAATATTGCTACCAATAAAATCAAGAGTTGTGAAATGGAGGAATCATATAAACGAAGTTGGAAAGTTGTGTAAGTAACTTTAATATGAGTATGAGCAATAAATTCTGCTGAAAACATTATCAATCAATAATACTGTGTCACTGTGTCTTTTTCATTATATAAATTCATTTTATTATGGAATTATACCCTACCACCCTGCCCAATTGTTATTCTTATATAAAATATTTTCGAAATATGCAGTTTGTGTTATCTAGCTGAAGAATAGTAGTCATTCAACTTATGTTCATTACGCCGCATTGTTTCCATTCATTACGGTATTTTTCCCTCCTGGAGTTTATCAGGAAGATGAAATGTTGAAGTTTATTAAAATGCGCTGGTGAAAATAATGCAGTTTTATGGCCATTGTTGATTGATTAAAACAAAAACAGAGTAGAATATTTCGAAGATAGTATGGCTTAAATAGAAGAGGAGTCAAAGTTCAAACAAGCCGCATTTCTAACCTTATCATTTAGCTACTTGACAAACTATAAGGAAACTGTTATCCATTCATATTTCTCTCAAACACAAAATGGTGGACTGCATCGGTCACAACTTTCCACTAGAACTTTAGAAAATTAATCTTTTTGAAGCTGTGGATGCTTCTCTACAGTATGCGTAATTCAGCATATTAATAGTGACAATTTTATTGATTTCTAGTTAAACTTCTTATTTTTCGAGTTTGACCACGGATTGATATCAGTTAGAGAACCATTGAAAACGAGCATTGGAATACTGGACAGCCAGCCGTTGCATCCTAGTTTGGGAATCATCGGCAGTACACACCTACCACAATGGTTCCAACCCAGGACCTTCCGGTTACAAACCAAGCTAGCTCGTATACCACTCAGCCACTGGGACGCGATTCACTGACCAGTCCATGCATTCTAACTTCTATCAATTCGTGATTTTAAAGGAACCACTTTGTAAGTTGAAGGTCGTAGGTACGTAGTGCCGATAATTCCCAAACTAGGTTCATAAAACAACTGTGCAGTACTCTCTCCTTGTTTTCAATGGTTCACTAACTGATATCAATTCGTGGTCGAACTTGAATCCTTCTAAACCTTACAAATCAACTTTTGAAAACTTCTTATTAACAGAGAACTTTTAATTGATGGGATGCGCATTTCGCCTGTCGTATTTAGGACTCGTCAACTAGCTGTATGTACCTGCATTCCCCAGTGACTGATGATGATGTTCCCACCGAGGCTCGAACCCAGTGACCAGATGACGAGTCCTAAATAGGACGAAATGTGCATCCTGGACTCCACTGCTAGTCACCATCCACCAATTAAATACTAGTTAAATGCCTAAACATCGTCGAAACATCTGCACAAGAAGTTGACAGACATGTCACCTTGAGACCGAGCACTTCAGTCCAGTCAATCGACGGGAAAATCTAAAATTCAATTAAATAGTCAATATGACCCGTTGCATAAGAGGTGGCTCTCGTGGCCCAAGTGGTCTAGTGGATAACGCATTGGCGTTTTAAACTATGGTCACTGGGTTCGAGTCTCGGTGGGAACATTATCACCCACTAGGGAATGCAGGTACACCCGGATGACGAGTCCCAAATAGGTCGAAATGCGCATCTTTGATTCCACCGCTAGTTACATGACCAGATATCGTCGAAGCATCTGCACAAAAAGCTGACAGACATGTCAACCTGAGACCGAACACTTCGGTCGAATAAATCAATGGGAAAGTCTAAAATTCAAATTAAAAAAAGACAACAGAGAACTTTGTTGGAAATAACACAATCCGTTGTAAAGAAAGAAATAAAGAACCGTTTCATTGCATTTTTTTGTTTTAATTGTTTTTTTTAGTTTCTTAAAGATACTGAAAATCGTAATATCACTGGCGGAGCTCCAGTGTTTGTTCCATTCGGTAGTCGAGAAGCTACAGATTTAATACAAAGTGAAGGCAAATTTCTGAGTCAACTTCGATCAGATCGAGAAAGTAATCAAAGTGAGTATATATTGGATACATATTTTTGTTGATGGATGTGTGTTTTGCATGCAGTGTTATGATATAATGGAAGACGAAGTTATTACGGAGGGTTAATGGGTTGTACAGTATGCAGTACACCTCATGTTTTACCATCTACTGTTCCTACTGCCGTACATTTCTACACATTTAAGTGTTGGTTTGCAGGGATTTGATTGGTTATAGGATTTTGTCATGAGCTGACATCGGCCACAAAACCATTGAACCCCCCCGGGAGTACTGGACAGTTTTTTTCCTTCTAGTTCGGGACTCTTGGTCAGTACGCACCCACCGCCAGGGTTCGAACTCCAAACCTTCCAGTTACGAGGCGATCTTGTAGACCATTAAGCGACTGAGGCCAGTCCATGAATTCCAAGTTCTGCTAATTCACGACAGAGTGCCACCACTACTCAGTGTCAGCGGTGACGAGTATTTTTCCCCACACTCGACCTGCCAAAGAGTCCTAAACTAGAATGAAACAGCTGTCCAACATTTCTTGGTGGTTATCCAATGGTTCTCTAACCGATGTCAGTTCATGATGAAAGCCTGTAACCAATCGACTCATTTAAGTTCGTCTGAATTTCTTCTGTCCTATCTTTTCTCTACTTTTATGTGGCGATTTGAATAGCTGTACTTCTGTGCAAAGTTTTTCCTTTGGAATTCCGTCAATCAGTCAGTTAGTTAGAACAAGAGTTAAGCTTAGGTATTTCATTACTAGTGTTGTAACGACAAAAGACAAGGGCCAAGCAACTGATCGTCTATTGAGAAAATCAACAGATATTTATGTATTTTTATGTACATTATTATTCGTTATTGTTAGCAGAGAAACAGCGTCCGCTGATTGGTTGTTTTCTTGCCGAAGGTTAATTCTGTCATCTCTTTGTGGCCGTTTTTGTAAAGGTCAGACCATATACCTGCTAATCGTATCCGCCTACGCAAACAAAGTCTGATGTGATTGGTTGTTGAGTCAGTCTTTGTTTTTGTGTTTTTTGTCATGACCAAGATTTGGAACATAAATTGCTGTCTACCAATTTTGGCTAACAGACAGCTTTCAGCACAGTATAAAACTATTTCTTTCTATACTTCGTTTCCACTTTTATCCTAGTGAAATTCGATTCATTTCAAATGGCAACAGCACGTAATGAACCGCAAGAGGAGAGTGAATTACAAGCCATGTTCAATGAACAACGTAAAGAAATTCTGGCTGAATTGAAAGCATCCAACTCGTCTTCTTCTGCGGCTGCTGGTGGCGGTGGTCGTGGTGGGGATAAAACTGTTTCAAATTATCATAATGCGAATAGAACATTCCCAGGCAGTACAACTAGACGATTTAAACCTGGTTTATCGAAGTAAGTGGAGCTTTTAATTAATTATTTATTTACAGGATTTTCATCATGAGCTGACATTAGTTAGAGAACCATTGGAAAACCTGGGAGTATTGGACAGCTGTTTCGTCCTAGTTTGGGACTCCTCACAGTACGCACCCAGCTGTCCAGTACTCCAAGGTTTTCCAATGGTTCTCTAACTAATGTCAGCTCATGATGAAATCCTGTAACCAATCAAATCCCCCTACAAACCAACGCTTGAATTATTTATTTATTTTGTGTGTTTGTTGTTTTGTCAATGCGGAGTAAAGCTATCTGGCTAGCCAATAACAAAGCTGGTAAAACATACCAAACTGTCGTTATTGGCTTACAAGAGGGTAAGGATTGGTATGGCATGCGTGAATCTCTGATTGTTCCTTTAAGTCTTGCAGAATAGAAGAAACCAGTTAGTAAGCCAGATCAGAACATTATTTAGATCTTCCGAAGTATGAAACTACGGTATAAAGTCAAAAATATTCGAAGTAATAAATGAGAATAATAAATGTAATAACAATAGTAATAATAATAATAATAGTGGGATTGTTTCAAAATTGAATTAAAGTAATTACCTTTATGAATTTTTACAAAGCAGTTAGAAGACGTCATTTATGTAAATCTTGTAATTTATTCGCGCAATACATTTCGAGTAATTTGATCAGCTAAGATCAGAATAATTGAGAATGTGATGTCCGTATATCCATCTAAGGCCTTAGAACATACGAAAAATGGTATCACCCCACAGTGTATCTGCCAATTTTAAATGTACACCTGGTCAAACATACATAGGGAGGACTTATCGATCTTCACAAGTAAGAGCTTCAGAAGCAAATGGAATCTCCAGTACCCATTAATGGTTGGAACAGGCAACCTAGCCTCCTGTATTGTGAAATGTATTATAGAGACAGTACATAAGATTTACATTTACACGTCTTTTAAACCTGTCTATCTTTAGAACGTGTTTGGGATGTATCCTAAAGTTTATAGAAGCCCTAACAATTAAGAAGTTTACACCACTTTTATGCCTTCAAAAACAATTCGTCATCGCTTTAAACTTTCCTCGGTAAACTTTGTTACCTCTCTTATTTGGTTTAGTGATCTTCTTTATACGAGTTTGACCACGGATTGATATTAGTTAGATAACCATTAGGGGTTGCGGTAAATTACGAATTGGTAGAAGTTGTCCATTGAATCAGATCTCAGTGGCTGAATGTTATACCGGAAAGTCGTGGGTTCGAACCCCACTGTGGTGGGTGCTTACTGCCAATGATTCCCAAACTAGGATGAAACAACTGGCTGTCCAGTACTCCAATGCTGGTTTTCAATAGTTCTCTAACAGATATCAGTCTGTGGTCAAACTCGTATAAAAAATAAATCTAATCCTTACAAACCAAACTCTTGGAAATTAGTGATCTTCATTGTTATTTTGACCTTCAATATGTCCTTTTTTTTTGCTTCGGCTATCTCCTACGGAAGGATGAGCCGGCTTCATGAACATCTCGAATCATCGCTGCCCAGGCGCAGCGATCTGATGAAGAGAGTTCATGAAGTTTCATGGGAATTCGGTACGAGTGATGTCCCCAGAATCGCTCGGCCTTTTGTTTGAGAGTGCAGCTTTAGCCTTTACACAACCAAGTGTGACCTACAAGGCAGTAAGAGTGGAGTAGGGAGTCCACTATCCATTGGCAGCCGGTGACCGGAGTTCGGTTCATACGCCTTTTTGAATGGGGCCAGACATCCAGGACATCCAACAAGCCCTTTGTCCATACGTCTGCCGCTGAGTTCCAGTGGGCTTCATACGCCAGTCGTTGCAGGTTTGGAATCAGGGTTTAGCCATCTCCCCTAGACTGTCATCCAATGGACAGTCAACCCGGTGAAGAGCGCCGGGCATCCGCTTTCGCCCTCTCACCTTGGTGAGAAACACCTCCGCCACGTGAAGGCAGTGAGTAGGACTTCCTCAGGAGAGGCTATGTAAGACGCCCGGTCATATGGGATCATTTGAAGAGGTGTGCGGAGGGGTGGCCAATCCGCAGCGCAAGGCACCCACCCCCGACTATCCTGAGGCTTTGGACATAAATTTATCTTCTCAACTCTATTAATTTCATATATATGTACTCCTATTGTAACAACAGAAGACAAGGGCCAGGCAACAGGTCGTTTATTAGAGAAATCAACACATATTTATAGATTTTCGTGTACATTATTATAGATTATTGTTAACAGAAAAACACAGTCTTCTGATTGGTGGTTTCTCACTGAAAGTGGCCGTTTATTGAAGTTCAGATTATCTATGTGCAAATTGTATCCGCCTACGCAAAGTCTGTTGTGATTGGTTGTTGATTCAGTCTTTGTTCATATTTTTCTCATGACCCAATATTGAGGACGTAAACATTGACGTAAATTACTGTCTACCAATTTGGCTAGCAGCCAGCTCTCACCACACTCGTCCCCCCGTCAAATAGTTTGGACTGAAGTCGGCTTGATCTTCTTGGTGCTGGCGTCATCGTTGGCTTGTCTCGCTCTATCCATTTCTCGAGCTAGCTGACGCTCACCCGCTTCTCTCTGTTTGCATTTTTGATGCTATATACGTGGCCCGGTCTCGCCGTGACCGTGTATGGTCCTTCCCACTTTGGTAGCAGTTTCCGCGACCCTGGCACGTATCCACCGATGTTTCGCCTATCTATCTGTACATTTGACTTGATCTCGAATGCGGTGTACTTCCGCTTTACTCTCTGTTCGGCTTTCACAGCGTCCACTTTCTGCTTTCGTTTTACATTGTTGATGGCTTCTTTTCGCTCCGTCCGCCATCTCGTCATACTCCAATGCTGATGGAGGGGCCAGGTCTTGTTATGTATCGGTAGTCGGGGTTTCCTCGCATACATCAACTGAAACGGTGCTTTCTTCGTCGTTTCTTGCGCGGACGCACGATGTGCTAGCAGAATCAGTGGAAGTTCTGTCTCCCAGTAACCGCCTTTTGTTACACTATGACAAAATCGTGTGTGTTTGTGTGTGATCAGACTGCCCGAAATGTGTTGCGCAAAGTAAAATTAAGTTACGTCTTCTTATAGTTTTGTCGACGTACCCCAAATATTCATCAACCTTATTCAACAGCGTGCGTCGGTGGCATAGCGGTTAAGACGCTCGCCAAACATGCACACAGTCCGGGGTTCGATCCCCGGCCGACGCACTCCTTTACCCCACTAAGCCAGAAATAATGCTGGTGAAGAGGAAAGGTTGGGCATGAGGCTAGCAACCCCATCCTGTAAAATAAACACTGCTACAGAGGCTTCAAGCCACTAGCTTGTAGCCCTATGTTCCACTGGGAACGTGAAGGAAAAATATATATATATATAATTATTCAACAGCTGTACGACAACGGCACATGTCAAGTGATCCACAACAGAAAACTCAGCGAGGCGTTTGGAGTAAACACAGGAGTCAGGCAAAGGTGTTTATTATCACCAATGATATTCCTAATTGTGGTGGACTGGATTATGCGTCAGACAGTGGGAAACGAGAAGACAGGGATATCCTGGACCGACGTGAAGAACCTAGAAGACCTGGATTTCGCGCGTGGATGATTTATGTTTGATGTCACACAAAATCAAAGACTTCCAAGCGAAAACCGATAAACTGGTCGAAGAAGCAGAAAGCGAAGACAGGACTCCAGGTGAACATAGACAAGACGGAGGTTATGAAAATAACCAACCAACCAACAACAACAACAGCAGCAACATCATCCAGAGCCAATCACCATCAACGGGAGGGATTTGAAAGAGGTTACTTCATTCACTTATCTAGAGAGCATAGTCTCAACTACAGGAGGAACGGACGAGGATGTCAAGTCGAAAATCGGGAAGGCGAGAAACACATTCATCAACCTGAAACCAATCTGGAAATCTTCGTCACTCACCATCAACAACAAAATTCGGATTTTCAATACAAACGTCAAGTCAGTCAGTTCTTCTATACGGATCAGAAACTTGGCCAGTGTGTCACCAAGAATATTTCCAACAGCCTGTTGCAGACCTTTATCAACAACAACTGTCTTCGCTCTATACTGAAGATCAGATAGATGGTCGGAAAGAATCACCAACAAGAAACTAGGGGAATAAACAAAACAAGAACCAATTGCTCAACAAATAGGCGGGAGAAAGTGGAGATGGATTGGACACTCACTGAGCTGAGGAGGCCGCTGGGTGACATCGCGCGTCAGGCCATAGGTCAAGTGGAACCCGGAAGGGAAGCGGCGAGTAGTGGGACGTCCAAGGTTGACATGGAGGAGATCGTGTGAAGAGGAGTTGAAACAGTATGGATTGACATGGATGCAGGTGAAAAGTACAGCAGAAGACAGAAGCAGTAAGTAGAGACGTGCAGTTGAAGCCCTATGTTCCACTAGGAACCCAAGGGAACAATGATAATAATAATTGTTTTGTCGAAATTGTCACACATATAACTGTAATTTTCGCTGACAGTTTTAAATTTGATTAGCTCTCTTTCTCTCTCTCATATCTCACCTTTTGCTCATGTTTATTTCTAGATTTTATCAATTACAATTACAAAAATCTGAAGAATATAGTCTCGCTATCGGTCAGTTACTGTCATTAGGCTATCCATACCAGTTAGCAAGTAGTGCATTGAAAATTAATCGTGGTAATTATCAAGCTGCTGTTGATTATCTTCTTTCGAAGTCTACATCAACATCTATGCATTTGGATGAGAATCCAGTGAATAATAATCATACACCGGTGATTTCTTCTTCATTGCCACGTGGATCTAGACCATATGGAGGTAGAGGAAGTCGTGGTGGTCGGGGTGGTCGATTTAATTCAACAGACGGCGACGAGATGAATTCATCTCGGGTAAGTTGATTCTTATGATATTATGGTGACTGGCTGACTCACTGACTGAATGGTTTCAACGTAGAACTTTACACCGATGTGCAGTAGTTCGAGTTGCCATACTCCACGTGCGTTGGTGGCATAGCGGTTAGGACGCTCACCGACCATGCACATGGTCCGGAGTTCGATCCCCGGCCACTGACGCACTCCTTTACCTCGCTAAGCCAGAAGTAATGCTGCTGAAGAGGAAAGGTTAGGCATGAGGCTAGCAACCCCATCTTATAAAATAAACATTGCCACTAGCTTGAAGCCCTATGTTCCATTGGGGAAAGTGAAAGAAAAAGAAACACTCCATGGGACGCACAAAGCAAGAGGAGAGAGTGGTGAAAGATTCGAAACAGAGATAATAAACAGAAATATGAGGCAAAAAGAATAGCAATATGGAAGAACAATATAGTTTTACTGGAAGATTATAAATCACAAGGAGTGGATGCATCTGCGCCAGCCATCATGGAGAACGATTTTGAGCCATATCACCCAGTAAGTGTCTCCAGCCTTCATTGGTTTTACCATCCCGAGGACCCCAACTAGTCAGGAAGTCCACACAATTGTGTGTCTAATGATCAGGTTATTTGAGAATTGAGTAAATTAAAAATCCCCGTAGTGTAATCTAAACAAGATGATTTGGAGCGAACAGTTGTGGTTTCGATAAATTCTTCTTCATCTCAGGCTCTAAAAGTTATAAATCCATGAGTATTAGAAGAATACAAATAGCCATTAAAGCCATGTGAAAATTATATCAGAAACTGTCTGTATTGGGATGCATGTATATATAATATGGAGTGATAGTTCGTCATTCAATATTCTCAAATGAACGTATACATAAAAAGTGTGCAGTCATTCACTGAGAACATAAGATAAATTGTGAATAGACAACCTTTGATTCGTATGAACGTGAAGGATAAGCTACCACTGCTGACTGGCTTCATCAGTGTGTATCTACCAATTCACCTGCTCGTGTGGAGCCAGGTATGTCGGCCGTACCCAGCGTTCGCTATCCAAACGTATCACCGAACACTCAGCAGAATGGTTTTACAAGGGAGAAAAACGATGCGCCCGCAGCTCTATCTTAGAACATCTGATAGATTCCGGACAACAAACTACACCCCACCCCCCACCCCCGCAAACAAACTTCAAAATCGTCTACAGAATACGAAGCAATCTTCCTAAAATTGTGCGAATCAAACTTCTTCAAACTGCAGAAGCAATGGCAATTCACTTGCTAAGTCCTGAACTCTGCATACAGAAGAAGTTCGTTCAATCACTACACTTGCAATGGACGTAATCTGTCTTAATACCCGACAGGTAAATTCTATTTCTTTCTTTCTGTCTCTTCATTAGTATTATTTTGTCTTCTCAATTGTAATATTTTACATTTTCAACTTTCTTGTTCTCTACCCGCACCCGATTTAATTTCTACACCTCATTACCACTGTTACTGACTTGACCGATGCCCAATTTCTAGTCATTTATGTTACGTCATCCAATTTATTTGCTCAATTTTAGTTCTAATTTAAATGGCATTATCCCCTACCCCACCTCTTCTCTACCTGTAATTACCTGTGTTGCTATCCTGACCTAAGTTGAAGCATTTTAGTCAATTTCATTGCGTCATCTAACTCTAATTAACCTTGTTTCTATATTAAATCATTCCTGTATTTCATACATTTGTATTATCTGATCAATTATCTATACTTGACAAACCTCATGTGCACAGACACACACAAATAATTATATACAAATGCGATTGTACAGCTATGTGAATGAATCCACCGAAAAGAGTCTCTTCGCTGAACGTCTTAATTACAGTTGTATTTTGAGTACCAAACAATCTGCCTTAAAGGCAAAGGATTACGTCTCTCAGCTATATAGAATAATAAGAAAAAAGCCTAACCAATGTGGGCGAAAAAAGCACATTCATCCTCTTGGTTTACCCTGGCCTACTACAAGGTCAGCAGAGACATATACATCCATACTTTCATGTCATATTATGCCTTTCTTATTCCTTTTCACCTAGTTCACTTTACTTCATCGTTGTTACCTATATAATGTGTCAACCTTTCTAACTTACAGTAAGCTAATTTATGTCTCTAGTATTTGATTACAGTTCACGATTTAATCTCTTTATTTTATCACTACACTTGATGTCTGTCAACCCATGCCTATGAACTTACATTCAGTGTTCCTCGTTTATTGGTATGTCTTTGTATGTATTCTGTGGGAATCACTTTCTTCGCACACCATTGAATATAACTCATCCTGCCCAACCAGCCCCAATGAAACTTACATTCTGTTGAGTAGTATGTCACCCAGTTGTCTATTCACACTTGATATTATGTTCTGAATGACTGACTGACTGTACGTTTCATATACATTCACACTATCATTCATTCCATCTTATACATGTACTCCTATACAGACAGTTTCTGATATCATTAACGGATGCATTTAACTGGCTATTTGTATTCTTCTAATATTCATGGATTTACAACTTTTAGAGCCTGAGGTGAAGAAGAATTTATCTTAAACCACAATTGTTCGCTCAAAATCCTTTTATTTGAGAGTTGTTTAAAGGTGACAGTATTCCATAAGGTTCTGGTATAAGAAGCAACCTCCTCCACCTACGTGGGAAGCATCGTTTCAACTACAGGCGGACGGAACTGACGAGGATATCAAAGCAGTGAGGATCGGGAAAGCAAGGCAAGCTACTTATTATACGGATCAGAGACTTGGCGCGTCATGAAGAGCACCTCATACAAACTACAGACCTTCATCAACAGCTGTCTTCGCTCAATACTGCTCAAGGTCAGATGACTAGCCAGAAAAGATCAGCAATATTGAGGGATCTCTGGGAAAAAACCAACCAGGAGCCGATTGTGAAACAAATATGCAGGAAGAAATGGAGATGGATTGTGGCCATACTCTGAGAAAACAAACCATCAAGTGAGTGACATCACACGCCAGGCAATCGCTCGAGTGGAACCCTAATGGGAAGCGGCGAGTTAGTTGGTCTTCAGTGTGAGGGTGACATGGAGGAGGAGGTGATGTGAAGAGGAGACGGAAGCATGTTGGCAGACGTGGAGCCAGGTGATGAAAACGTTGGCAGGGGAACCGAACGTGGTGGAGACGTGCGGCTGAAGCCCTATGTTCCTCTAGGAACTAAAGGAAACAATAGTAATAATAATAATTAGTTCTGGTATACATTCAATTTAATTTAGCATCCAATACATAGAGATATCTGATTTTGGGTTTTTTTTCTATACGTATGAGAATATGCTATTATTATTATATTCAACGTTTCTTATTTAGTCTGTATGGTGGTGTTTTGTGTATGTTTACGATCGACTTTGCCTATTCTATCACATTCTCTTCCTCTCTTTTTTTCTTTATTGTATGTTTTACTGCTGCATTAAAGTTCCATTCATCGTCGGCAGATACTCCACAGAGTAGACCGTCAACTGGATTAGTACGACTTGATGATTTAATTGTTGATTCAATGCCAACAAAATCAGCAACAGCAGCAGTACCGCCATCATCAACAACAACAAAAGGCGTCCATCAGACAGTAATTAATCATCATCGATTAAAACCAACTGCTAATCAGGTCTTGTTATCTGTTGGTTGTCCAATTTTAGCCCAGAATATATCCGGGGATTATGAAGAAGCCCAATTAATTGGTTATCTATCGAATACTAATACTGGCAGCAGTTCAGGGGAAAAGATTGTTCTCGTCGCCTATCTACATTCTGATAATGCTACAGGTAAAATTAGTATAGAAGAAGAGATTGTACCGATCAGTTTGATAAGAACAATGAATCGAGAAAAAGTAAGTATTTATATGTGTATATGCATGTGTGTGTGTGTGTAAATCTGTGAGCCTATGCCTATGTTTGATATAAGGATAAAACTTGGGCACTGTGGTCGTGGTGGTAGAGTGGTAACTCCATTTGTGGTGAGCTCTGGCTGCTAGCCAAAAATTAGTAGACAGTAATTTACGTTAATGTTTAAGTCCTCAATATTGGTCATGAGAAAAATAAGAACAATGACTGATTCAACAACCAATCACAGCATACTTTGTTTGCGTAGGCGGATACAACTTGCAGATAGATGATCTGACCTTGAAGAAACAGCCACAAAGAGATGAAAGATTAGCCTTCAGTGAGAAACAACCAATCAGAAGACTGTGTTTGTCTGCTAACAATAATCTTTAATAATGTACATGAAAATCTATAAATATGTGTTGATTTCCTTAATAAACGATCTGTTGCCTGGCCCTTGTCTTCTGTTGTTACACATTATGGATAAAATTTTATTTTGATAAAATCACGTTTCGAGCACAAATTATTATTGCTCATAATCATGTCAAAGTACTCACTCACACACAACTTTCTTGCTTCATTTGTATACATGAATAAAAATTGATGATTAGATATTTGAATAAAATCAATATTATACATGATAAAGTACATTCTGAGAAGATGTCAAAGCCAGCCAGCCAGAATCGGAAAGGCAAGATACACACACGCCTTCATTAACCTGAAACCAGTTTAGAAATCTTCTGCACTGCACACTCAGCCAGCATAAGGAACAAGATTGACATTTTCAACACCAATGTCAAGTCGGTTCTTCTATACGGGTCAGAAACTTGGCTAGTGTGTCACGAAAAGGATTTCCAATAGCCTGTTACAGACTTTTATCAAAAGCTGTCATCTTTAATGGTTGGCTCCATACTGAAAATCAAATGGCCAACCGGCCAGAAAGAATAAGTAACAAGAAACTGTGGCTGGGAGCAAACCAACAGGCAAGAGCCGATCGCCTAACAAATATGTAAGATAAAGTGGGGTTCGATCGAATTGAGGAGACCGTCGAATGAAATTATGCTAAATGCAAGCCATTGTTTTAGTGGAATCCAAATAGGAAGCCACACGTGGGTGGGTAGTTGGTGCGAGCGTCACATGGAGGAGGAGATGAGAGAGTTTGGGCAATTGTGGATCGATTATGGTCCGTATGCTCCACTCGGAACCCAAGGGAACAATAATAATAATGTGAAGTTAGTGCTACTTTTTGGATCATAGACTTGGTGAGTCATAAAGAGCATCTCAAACAAAATGCAGACCTTCATCAACAGCTGCCTTCGCTCAATACTCAAGATCAGATGGCCGGCTAGAAAAGATCAGGAGTAGTGAGGGATCTCTGGGAGCCAACCAACCAGGAACTTATCTTCTCGGGGTCAACCATTTGACCTTAGCTAAATTCTTATATTCTGATTGATTGTTCTCTCTCTGGAAGTTATTCTGTCATCCCTTTGTGGCCGTTCCTTTCAAGGTCAAACCATATATCTGCGAATCGTATCCGCCCACGCAACGTCTTTGTTCTTGTTTTCCTCGTCACCAAGATTTGGGAAGTAAACATTGACGTAAATTGCTGTCTACCAATTTCGGCTAGCAGACAGCTCTCACCACAGTAGCGTTGTTCAGACTCAAAAGTCCTTTGGTTTATCATATTTTGCTTACAAATCCAAGGGGAAGGATAAACTTTTTTAAAGTCCGATTACTTAATGTAATTTATTCTATTTATTACTTTTAGCTAACATGCTTTTTATGTACTGTGATTTTGTTATTTTTGTTTTGCTTCAGATAACTATAGATATGGTACCTCCAGCACCATCTGACCGTGTGAAACCTTACGGATCTTCATCAAATTCAGCATCTATGAATTCCAATCAATTTGATGATATTCACTTTAGCCATCAGCCATATCCTCCTACATCGGGCAGAGGATATCGAGGGAACAGTCGTGGTAGCGGTGGTGGTGGTGGTCGCCGAGTATTTAGCGGCGGAAGAGGTAGACGAGGATCATCACGTGGTGGTGGTGGTGGTAGGTACAGTAACTTCTGAATGAAAGAAAAAAAGAATGAAACTGGAAATCTTTTGTCTGACATATCATCATCGTGCTTCAATCAGTTTTATATCTGTTGTCTTATAATAAACCTGTACATATCCTTGTCGCTGTCGACCTGTTTCTTTTTTTCATTAGTTGCTTTTCTCTGTCTGTATTGTGGCTGTAAATTATATTTTTCATAGGCTATTGTTCCTTTTTTTCATTTCTGAATAATATGTGACCACTCAGAGTGGTCGCACCTCGAAACCCCGCCTAGCTGGTAGTAGAAGCCGTGTATAGATGTAACGTTGGGCGTCAGACTAGCGATACCATCCCGTAAAAACAACGCCATCGCCACTGAGAATTCAAAGTACAAGCGTAAAGTCCTATGTTTGACTCAGGACGCTAAGGAATGAAAAAATTATCAGCATAGGACGTAGGTAACTGTATGTTTGCTGGTCGCCGTCACCACATCTGCACATCAAGTAGGAAGGGTAACGGAAAACACTGAGCGATACTCGTGTTGGTTGTATAAAGCGATGATTTGGTTAGCAGCTAGATTTTCAAGCTAAGGTGACAGAGCAATACATTAGTAATTCTGAGCGTCTCGAAGCTATAGGACTGTGTTGTGAAGGGGACGAACGCGTAATCAGAGCATGGTTGTGAATCCATAGCCATAGTGGACCAACAGAAAATCTTGTCTTTGTGGAAGTTGTGTTTGTTAGTGGCAGGCTAAACAACTAGACAGAGCTGAAGTATTTAACGAGACAGTGTATTGCCGTTGCTGAAGTTAACTTTTTACAATTTCCTGCTATTCCGTTCGGCTAAATACGCCGTTGGCTGGGCACAAGCACTGCGTTTCTCTCTCACACTGGTTACGGCAGCAATAAGACTAGACTGTTAATCGGTTTGACTTTGTTCAGACTGCGATGTCACCCACTTGTTTGGCCAGCTCATGGTAGTGCAATCACAGTAGGTTACCGGCCTGGTATACTAGCACAGAGGATTTCGCATCGCTTAGGGCATGCAGATTTTAACCTGAGAATGGGGAGTCAAAGTGGGCACTGTATTTCACTGCATTATGAAAGTCGGTGGTGTGTTCACATATACGGTTCTAAGTCTGACTATATGGGAATATTAGTTGGTTTATCATTAGGTCTTCGGAAGCCATCTACCTATGCTGCTTCAGGTAGCGAAGAAACATCCTTGCAAGTAAAGGTACTATTGGGAGATAAAATTTATCCACGCTTTTGTGGCTGGATGGAGCCCATATCCTACGGGGCGAAGGCCAGTCATTGTATGCCACTGTCCAGCACTTTCAGTGCCAACTTTGCCTTAACTCAGGTCAATCTCGTGTCTTGTTTCTATGCCATAGTGGTTTTTGTCAATATCTAGCTGAATATGCACAATGATTTCATGTTCTGCTTTTAGCTTTTTGCAGTGGGCAAGTTTGCAAAAGGTTTTTCTTGTGCCTCTTATGAGGTTGTTTTAGGCATAACTGAATGTACATGCTGTGGTATGGAAGTACTGAAGCAGATAGAAGTAAAAGCAACAATTATTAGTTGTGTTACAAATGGTCAGTAAGCCAGACTACTTAGAAAATTATGAAAGTGCTTGCATAAAGTGATAGTTGTTGGCTGCGAATGACTCACCACAGCAGTCGGTGTGCGGATAAACACGTAAAGAAGCAGTAATACTTCAACAGCAGTAAGAAGCCGGTAATTTTCAGTTTTTTCCTCAGTTAAAAACCAGCTTAACGTCGAGCGTAACCATACGAAATAACAAAAGAAGCTCTCGGAAGATTGAAGTAATCGTGATATGGGTCCGAGAGACAGAGAACCTAACCTTCTGCGAATTTGGCTTATTTCACAAGTTTTATATAGTTAGTAACGCTGTTGAGCGTCAGAGGTTCAGTGGTAAAACAATGGTCAACAACAAAAGTGGTCCAGTGTTCAATCTCTCGCCGACGCACTCCTTTACCCCTGTAGCGGTAAATAATTCCCCAAAATTATTAACCACAGCAATCATCACTCAACATTGGATGCTGACCATCACTGTTTAAGTCGACTTGTTTAGCTGAAGGCTTACGGTCAAGCATCCCCGCCATTTGGTGCTCTTCATCGTGTCACGTGCGTGCACGATTACTAGCTAGCTAAGCATTCATTCCTACCCGCGATTTGGTCCCAAAATATATATCGTATTTGGACGACAAAATCTGGTCTTTTGCTTTACCATTTGGTACTCGAAGAACGAACACTATAGTGGTTGTTGGTATAAGATCTTGCGTTAGTATAATCCGTACAACTCGCGAACGTCGATACCGTCAATCTCTAAACTGGTGAGCCCGACCTCGAACTTCATCGTCAATTCACACGCAGATAAACCCGGTGAGTTCGTTCCTTTTTGTGTTTATTCTTGTACTATATTGTTATCGGCATACTTTTCGTCATGAGTGATCCTAGCCCCAAAGTTATTCAGATTCGCTCAGCCGCCAAAACAATCCAGCTAGTACCATATTGGCCCGATAATGCTGAAACGTGGTTTCAGATTGCTGAGTCTGATTTTTGTGAACATGGCATAACTGATCAACGTTCACAGTTCCTTGCAGTTATTCACGCTCTACCGCGGGAATTCAGCAGGTGCGTAACTCTGCATATGTCGGTAAGTAACTCGTACGAGTTGCTAAAAGCATCCATACTCAAGAGAAACGTTCTCACAGATCGACAACGTCTGGATGAGTTATTTCGTAACATCGAGTTAGGAGATAAGTCAGCCGTGAGCATGCTGGCAAGAATGAAAGAGATCATTGGCCAAAGTCAGTTCGATGAAGGACTGTTTAGAGAACTATTTTTATCCAAACTGCCACAGTCAGTTCAGACTGTACTTGTGACACTTCAGGGTGTTCTCATAGATGATTTAGCTGTCTCTGCAGATAGAATTCTAGAGATAACGAAACGGCCAGTTACTGAAGTATACTCTGTTACCGAACAGACTTCGAGAAAGGATTCTGCAATGATAGAGTTATGCAACTCCGTCCAGCAGATGCTTAGGTCAAACAAGCCTAGCAATTCCTCCTATCGTCGTTCTAAATCCCCTCAACGGCAAAGTGCACGTGGACGATCTAAGTCCAACACACGCTCTCTCAAAAATCCTGACTGGTGTTGGTATCACAACACCTATGGCAAGGAAGCGAAATGTTGTCGAAAACCTTGTGATTTCGGCAAAGCCTCCAAGTCTGTGGGAAACTATCCCGCCGGCACGCGTTAGCGGCAACCGTCGCCGGTGGCACTAGCCGCTTACTTTACATCCGTGATGTAATTAGCCAGACTAGATATCTAGTCGACACAGGCGCCGAAGTCAGCGTCCTTCCTGCTACAGCAGCAGATCGACAGAAGGATCCTAACTTCAACCTACAGGCTGCAAATGGAAAACCAATTGCAACCTATGGTCGGAAATACGTCTATCTGAACGTAGGTTTACGCAAACCTATTCAGTGGATTTTCCTAATCGCTGACGTCACAATGCCCATCATTGGCACGGACCTACTTAATCATCATGATTTGCTCGTAGACGTCCGCCGTAAACGACTAATTGACAACACTACTAGTTTGTCTATCAAAGGCATAACTTACAGTGGCCCCAGCTTGTCAATCGTTAAGATGAAAGCAATCCTCGATCCAACTTTTCAACCGATTGTTGACAAATATCCGGAACTGAATTGCCCATCTAACGATCTCCCGTGCATAACCAGCAATGTTATGCACCACATCATAACCTCAGGACAGCCCGTGACATCTAAAGCACGACGACTGGCACCTGATAAACTGAGAATTGCCAGAAACGAATTCGATCATATGCTCACCCTTGGCATCATTCGACCATCGAATAGTCCACGGGCATCCCCACTGCATATGGTACCGAAAAAGGATAGCAACGATTGGCGACCCACTGGTGATTACCGGCGAGTGAACGCCAAAACAACTCCTGATTGCTACCCTTTGCCTCACATACACGACTTGACGGCAACGTTATCTGGAGCATCTATATTCTCCAAAATCGACTTGGTTAAAGCATCAATGGACTGTGGTCGGAGGGGAGCAGGTTTAACTGAACGCATAGCGTTTGTAAGCCTGCTGACGTATGAGGAGTGATCTACCACTGGTGGGAAGCTCGAGGGAGAAACAAACTCACCTGGCAGTCGTAGTGTTGTGCCATATACTAGCTCAGAGGTAGTACAACCAGCATCGGTTTTTAAGGCGTTTCGTATCCCTAGGAGAACTAACGGAAGGGATTCAGTCCAGTGGGTGTTATTTTCGTTCACCCTTGTTTAAAAACTTCTTCACATGTATTTGTTCGTCGCGACTCGGTACGTCGTCCTCTAGAACCCCCATATGACGGACCATATAAAGTGATTAAACGTACTGATAAATTCTTCGTTTTAGACAAAAAAGGCCGCGAAGACACCGTCAGTATCGACCGTCTGAAACCAGCTTACTTGGAAGGTAATCCCATTAGCCTGGAGCTAAACGTACCCGATAATTCACAAGTAATTGAATCTACTTCAGTCTTTGAAGAACTCCCTAGCACGGCGAAAGCCACCGAACCTTCGGTCGATCACTCTAAAAAAACGCGTTCTGGACGTCACGTTAGATTCCCAGAATACCTTCACACCTATCTCACATAACTGAGTGACACATCAATTTTTTTTTATGTTGCGTCATTTAACACAAGTAAATGATATTTTTCCTATAACCGTACATAAAATTATATAAGATGTATATTTTTTTCCCGATATTTTGAACTTTACATTATTTTAC